TGTCTAAATTGTCCCTAGTATGTGTATGTATGAATGTGAGTTAGGGACCTTAGATTGTACACCCCTTGAGGGTTAGGGACTGATGTAAATGTACAATATATATGTAAACCGCTGCGTAAATTGATGGTGCTATATAAGTACCTAAAATAAATAACACGCCAAGTTAAGGAAACAAATGGATATGCACCATCTTTGGCAATGCATCATAGCATGGTTGTGCATTGTGGTGCCTGGCAGCATACAGTAGGTGTGTTGTTTAGTTCACAATGAATGGCACCGCAACGTACTAACACACTTACAGCGTGCATTACCACAACACAGCAGAAACAGAAAAGCTTGTTTCAGCCCATAATGTGTCCAAAATAAATCCTCTGTGTGATAAACGGAGTCCAATCATTACAAGGCACCTAAAATTGTGAAACAGGAACCCAGGACATGAAATTGAATTATGAGTAATTATCTACACCTGGCTGTGTGTGCACCAAATACAATAACATACATGTATTGGAGGGAGAAGGAGATAGGTGACTCTGCAATTGTCAGCCAAGAATAAGGGCCGGTTCACACCAGAATCGCATAGTGTGCCATATTCCCGTGTGGTGCCATTTTGCAGCCCATTCATTTGAATGGCCTGCAAAATCCAGTGGAATGCAAAAAAAAGTATTGCATTCACTACTCTCAAAAATGCGACATACCAAATCACATGGTACTGCTGTACCATGCGATCTGGTGCCTGCAGGGGCGTCCCTAGGATTTGTGTCACCCAGTGCAATAACACTTGGTGACAACCCCCTCCGGCGATCCCCGCAGAATGGATTGGATCTGCGGATTGAGCATACTGGATCGGACTCCGATCCATTATGCTCAATCCGCAGATCCGATCCATCCTGCGGGGATCGTCGGCTTGCTTTACAACTTACCTTTTCGTGGAGAGGGTCTGGTGTCACCCCCGCATAGGTTGCATGCCACAATCCCTGCAGAATGGATCGGATCTGCGGATTGAGCATAATAGACGCACCTGCCTAGGAATGCTCTCACTGATCACTATTACAGTTGTCAAAACTCTTCATATAATCCCCAAATCCCTCGAGAAGAAGTCGGAAGTGACGAAACATGTCAGGGATGTGACGTCAGACGCAAAACCGGAAGGAGCGCCACGGCCATCTTTGTTATTGGATTTGGGCTGTGTGAACTGCTGGAAAGGATGGATGTTTTTTCCTATTAATGTAAGAATTCAATAAAGCCTAAATGTTACCCTTTACACTCCATTCTTGCCTCTATGAGGAGCGGGGGAGATTGAATTGGGCATATCCGCAGGGTGGAAGCTGCAAATACCCTGGAGTGCTTGGGAATGCTGGTTTAAGCTAAGAGAGGGTAATTGTATTGAATCCTACTAGAGTGTGGCACCATTGATTGTAGCAGAGTATCACAGGTTGTGCAATTTGCTGTGAATTTACCTCAGGAGTGGGGAGTCAAGGATTGTTCACTTACATTTATTCATAATTTTTGTAGTGTTGATATTCACGCTTATTTGAGATTCACAGAGTGCTGTGTTTTTTTTATAGTTTTTTTTTATTTTCTTCACGAGTAGTTTTGCACGGAATCACATATCACCGTATAATTTTAAGGATAACGCACTATATTCAGTTTCATATTTTTTTGAGGTATCCTGATCCTGGCGTGGTGAATGGGATATATTTACACAACGTTTGGAAGATTGAATTTTTGTGGACACTTTGGACTTTATTTTGGACATTTTGCAGTAAGGTGTAGGGGATTATGGTATGGTATAAGGTTTTGGAGAAAAGGTTTTCATATCTCACTGATCACTGATTATGTTTTTGTTGTGATCTGCAGATCTGTATCTTCTCGATGAATAATTTGTGTGTGTCCGTCTTGTGTTTTTTTTTCCTCTTTTTGCTCTTGCAGCGTCTCTTTGTTTTTCTGTTCTCTATGTTCTGGAGAAGAGGTACGTCTGTGATGCTGCAGCCTGGGGGGGAGGCTGACAAGTAAACAGGGAGGACTGGACAGACGGGCAAAAGGCTAAAAAACATTTTCAAATCTGTTATGGAAAGAAAAACAAACACAAACTCTTCCGAGCCGTCATTCAGGAAATAGTCAGTGCTTTGCAATGATAACCATTTCTGCATCTTCCATAGCCCCTTGGTAAGAATACATTGAAAACGTCCTTGTGTTACATATTGAGCGAAGCTGAAGAAGATTGTACAATCAGATTGCATAGTTTATGGCCAACTTTAAAATCCTTCCAGTCTATAAAGCCAATTTTGGCCTATGGCGGCCAGTCTAGATTATCCAATGGGCTTTTTTACCCCTGGTTCACACCGATGCGTTTTTTAGTGCCTTTTGCAGAAACGCACTACAGTCCATTTAACATGGTTTCCTATGGGACACATTCACATCTGTGCTTTTTTTCAGCTGCTGCAGTTTTGGAAAGGGTCGGGGACTTTTTTAAATGCAAAAAGCAGCATTTTTGCTACAATAGAGTTCAATGCAAGGGTGGACTGACCATTCGGAAACTCGGGCACTGCCCAAGGGCCCGGGATCAGTAAGTGGCCCCATGAGATACCCCTGGTACCTTTCATAGGCTTTTTTGGATGTGGTTTGAGTGTGGGCGAGGACACAGGGGCCCCATGATCCCCTATTGCCTGGGGGCCCCATAAGTTGTCAGTTCAATGGAGAAGTTGCTGAAACGCAGGTAGTGCATTTTTCGTTTTGTGCTTTTTTTTTTCTGCCCAGCAACAAAACAACTTTAACACCTTCCCGCCCAGCCTATAGCAGATTGACTGCCAAAGCGGGACACTCGACGTTGTGACTGTGCGTCATATGACGTCCTGGCACAAAGAGCTGCTCATGCGGTTGCGGGGCTGCGCAGCGGCGCGAATCTGTTACCGGCTGTGTCCACGGGACACAGCCAATGACATATCACTACACCGACCCGTTGCCAGTGTCATGTGACCGCTATGACCAATCACAGCAGATCACATGTCAATTGTATACAATGGATGGCTTCCTGTCATGCCATCCATTGTATACAATTATGTTGTTAGCTGTGACTGGTCAAGGCAGTCACATGATACAGACAGGGCCAATCACAGCCCATCTGTATAATGTGACCAGCTTTGCCCAATCACAGCTAATCACAACAAAATACTGAATGAATCAGTTTCATTCAGTAACAATGATTGCAAATATCAAAGAAATACATTGGTATTAGCAATCATAATGTGTTTTAAAAAAAAAAAATCATGATCACTTGCCCAGAGTAGTTCAATGTTACTATGGTAACATCGTATTGCTTTGGTCACAGTGTGCTGAAAAATAAAATAGTAAAAAAAAAGAAAAAATGTAATAAAAAATAAAAAAAAATAGAAAAATGTGAAAAAAAATACAAATTCAATTATTATTATTATTTTCACCAAAGAAATGTAGCAGAATACATTTTGACCTAAATGTATGAAGAAATGTTATTTATTTGCAAACTTTTATAACAAAAACAAAGAAAAGTGCATTTTTATTCAGTTTTGCATGAAAGCAGATATAAAGTTTAACATTACACCTCGCAGGGCGCCAAACACAATACAGGCCTCGCAGGGCCAGGAACAATTACAAGCAGAATACTGCAACAAATGTGCAATGGAATCTAATAACAGAGACCAACTAACAGAACTGAGCGCCAGTTCCCAATGCATGCGTTTCAGTTGATTTTTTCCTGCATCCAAAATGCACAGAAAGTAGGTTATATGGTTGTCAATGTCATAGTTCACATCAGTGCTTGCAGTTCCAGTGCAGAAAAAAAAAGCAGAACAGGCTGAGTTTGTTCTGCACAGAACTGTACTGGAAAGCAGTAAAACGCATAAAAAATGGTATGTTGGAAAGGGGAGGAGACCTCAATATATCACATCATGCAGCCTACCCCGTCATATCAGAGAAGAATGACTTTTTAATGATAAAAAGTGGAGCTTTTCTATATCATGACACTGTTGCTGTATATTGTGACGTCAGGAATTTATTCATAGAGACTTGTAAAGTTACTTACAGGTCCACTTTAAATTTAAACTGTCATTTCTTTCTTTCATATTTAAAAGTAGACCAGAAGCACTGAGAAAGCCCTACTGAATGCGTCTGCAAGGCACTGTCTTCAGCTTGTATTAGAAGTGAACTGGATGGGCTTTCTGACGTGTACATGCCAACCTCCTGGGTAGCACCAGCAACTTGTTGACTTGTTGCCTGGATTCGCTCTTTATGGAAAAATTCACTTCAATCTATTTGCATTCATGCTCAGTAACTGTCTCAGCCACAGCTTGATGCGTGATCACTCGTGGGCCCGCCCAGACAAAAACTTGCAGCCAATAAGGAAGCTTGGGTGGAATAATAACTCTTCTGTGCTAAACAAACAGACAGTCGGTGATATGAGAGGGAATAGAAGAGCTGATGTCTTGTATTGGGGGCATCCTCCAGGACAGCAGGTGACACTCTGGGCTCAGCATCCAAGATGAGGGGCAAATCTATCCTGATCCTCAGCAGGCAGCTGGCCAAGGGGGTCCTCCACCCCAATAAGCATCATGTCCGACACTGCAGTCTGGCAACCTGCTCCCTGCAGCACAAGGATGCAAAGTGTGAGTACTTTCTCCAATGCACTTCATTGCACAGCAGTAACTGACAGCATTTCTGATAAAAGGTTCTACATGAACCATGCACCTTGACAATGCTTCACTTCAAAATATGCATCACAATAATTTATTCATTTTGGCACCAGACATCACCAAGGGGCCACACATAATACTACACAAGACCGTTGGAGACGTTACAATTACTACAAGAAATAGTCAGATAGTACAGATTTATCACAGAAGAGGGTCGGAGACTGGGGACATTCCACAGAAGAGGGTCAGAGACTGTAGACATACTACAGGAGATGGTCAGAGTTTGCAGACATACTACAGGAGATGGTCAGAGTTTGCAGACATACTACAGGAGACGGTCAGAGACTGCAGACATACTACAGGAGACGGTCAGAGACTGCAGACATACTACAGGAGACGGTCAGAGACTGCAGACATACTACAGGAGACGGTCAGAGACTGCAGACATGCTACAGGAGGCGGTCAGAGACTGCAGACATGCTACAGGAGGCGGCAGAGACTGCAGACATGCTACAGGAGGCGGTCAGAGACTGCAGACATGCTACAGGAGGCGGTCAGAGACTGCAGACATGCTACAGGAGGTGGTCAGAGACTGCAGACATGCTACAGGAGACCGTCAGAGACTGCAGACATGCTACAGGAGATGGTCAGAGACTGCAGACATACTACAGGAGACGGTCAGAGACTGCAGACATACTACAGGAGACGGTCAGAGACTGCAGACATACTACAGGAGACGGTCAGAGACTGCAGACATACTACAGGAGATGGTCAGAGACTGCAGACATACTACAGGAGATGGTCAGAGACTGCAGACATACTACAGGAGAGAGTCAGAGTATGTGCCCATGCTATAGGAGTGATAAAAAAACTGAAGAAATGCTGCAGAAGACAGTCAGAGATTGAGGACATGTTCCCCAAGACTATTGATTGCCATTACATGCTCTTTAAAAGTAGAAATGTTCTCAATCTTGTCTGTTTGGGGCCATATCAAGCAAAAAAGGGCCACATGCAGCCCATAGGCTAATATATGGGCACCGGAAACTAGAGGCTCAGGCTAGTCACATCCTGACAGTTTTTTTTTTTGTTCAGAAGATACAAAAAATACAACTAAACTTTTCCAATCGGTTCCTCCTCGAACACTCTGTAGCTGTCAACGTTCTCCTTGCCAAACCTTTGACTGTACTGATAATATATTTGAGAAATTATTGTTGGCAAAGAATGACCTTCCACTGAGATGGAAACCATTTGTGTGGACATTTGTAAAATATACAATGTGGTCCCCATATTGAATGGTTTGCAGCCCTCTGCCCTAAAGAAATAATCCCTACTCTGAAAGTTTGTTCACATCGCACAGCCAATCAGGTTCTGGGGGATTATATAAGAGAATTATTATATGAATGAGTTGATAATATGTTAGACTTTGTAACACATCTTTGATCTTTTCTCTTTCCCTGTAGTTATTTATCGTTTTGAAAAGAAAAGTTGATGCTAGTATCGTTACACAATAATTACATTTAATATGTTCTGGAAAGTTACTGAATAAACATGTGTCTCTCCCACAACTTGTGCTTTGACTTCTTATATTTTGTGGTGCCGTTCAGTACGGGCCCATTTACACTGTTAATGTATGCATTGCAACATAGAAATATGCCCATAGAATATAAATAAATATTAAAATAGCGTCATTCCCATCTCAGCGCTGCAGAGCATTTAAAAAAAATATGACGTCGTTTTTCTCTGCATTTTAGTGAATTGGAAGGCCCCTAATTTCCCTTCCGCACGTGGTGGACTTTGTCCCAATCAGCGGGGATCCGCTCCCAGATCTCCTGGTGGTCAGACCAGACTGGGGAGATGAGCCATCTGTGTCCGCTCAGTTTATGCAGAGCAGACACGGACTGAACCCGCTCTGCCCTGTAGGTGGCCGGGTGTAAATGGACTCCACTGTCGCAAGTAGAGATCAGGAGCTTTCTGTTAGCTGCCAGTATCTGTGCTGGGAGCAAAAAATCTAGAAGAAAATCTATCTATCTATCTATCTATCTATCTATCTATCTATGGTCTATATATCTATCTATCTATCCCAGATCTATCCATCTATCTATCTATCTATCTATCTGAGTTTCTAGGATTGTGAAAGACTTGGAGCATACAAGAGTGGTAAGTTCTGCAATGTCTTACAGACAAAGAGCCTACTTGATATAATCACTGCACATACATTCTGCAGTACTTGTACCAGTAATACTCTTTAAAGTGTATAGAAAGGCATGTACAGACATACAGAGTGAAGAGGTCATGAGTATGTAAAGTACAGAGTGCAGGTGTCAGAATTATGTAATGAACTAAGTACAGGGGTCTGGAGTATGTCACATGCTAATTATTGGGATCGAGTGTATGTAACATACTGATTGCAGGTGTCAGGAGTATGTAACATACAGAGTGGTGAAGTCAGGAGAATTTAACAAAGGGCAGCTGTCAGGAGTATGTAACATACAGATTAGTGAAGTCAGGAGAATTTAACAAAGGGCAGGGGTCAGGAGTATTTAACAAACAAAGTGCAGGGGTCAGGAGTAACATACTGATCGTAGAGGTCAAAAGTTCTGTATGTAAAATACAGTCTGAAGAAATTAGGAGTATGTAACAAAGTGTAGGGTCAGGTGTATGTAATATACAGAGTGAATGGGTTAGGAGCGTGCAACATGCAGTGTGCATGGGATCTTCTATAACATACAGAGTGCAGGGCCAGGAATATGTACAAAGCACCAGCATTAGGTGACTTTAACATTAAACATTTAGGGGTCAGGAGTATGTAACATACAGTGTAAAGATCAGGATTAGATACAATCCAGCACACTGCACTCCCTATGAATAATTTCAACATCATCCTCTTATTCATTGCACAACATTAACCACTATCAGGCACTTTAAAAGCCACAAACAAACACAATGTGGAATGTTTTATTCCATGATTAAGCACTTTGTGGGGTGAAACACATTGTAGAGTGGTAGGTAGACAAGCGGAGTTGTATGTAGTGAATCCTCTGTTTATTATATCAAAGCTGGTTTATGTTGTGATGGCATTAGTCCGTTCATTTTTACTTGACAAACACACACTCACACACACAGTAGCCATCCCATCACTTACCTTTTTGGAAAGTCAATCTCCTTGGTGGCATGGTTGGCTGTCTCTCCAAGCCTCTATCACTGCTGCCAGTGGAAAATCAATGGGGCGGCAGTTCTTAAGGGTGGGGGGGGATAGACCTAATAGGCAGCCCAATGTCAACTGAAGGAGTGCACATGGCAGGGTGACAACGCATGTGCTAATCGCAAGGCAATGGCTTAGTGTTGTCAGCCTGACACAGGAAGTGCTGTTAATGGCAGGATCTCCAGGTAGGAAACTTTGTAACAGATTCACAAAGAAGAAACTTTGTAGAAGATATTTCTATACAGAGAGGTATGATGTCAGACATACTGAAAAATGAATGTAGGGTTTTCATGAACTTTAAAAAAGTTTTAGGTTTGGATACTTTCCCCTATGACTCCAAATTGGCGAAATGTCTCCTGAATCTTCTAATATGTCACAGAAAGTTTGTGAAATAAAAAACTCTACATTTGGCTCATCCCTAATTGGTATGGAATTTTTGCCGGTTCCCTGTAATGTTGGACAGGAAAGTTGTTTTTCCTAAAACGGAGTTTAGGTTCTGGTGCTGTGAGTCATTGCTGCCTCTTATGACTCACCCCGTTCACTGGATGATAAATGGAGCCTTTCATTCAAAGGGAAATACATTTAAAGCCGAACTTTGGGATAAGTAAATACCATCTAAGTACATTCCTCGTGTGTATTCTTCCTGGATCTCGGTGAGCTTTGTGTATTTCTTCCAGATCTGTGCAGTAATCCAGTGTGAGACTTCCTGTAATAAAGACCTCTCACTGCTACTCTCTCCTTGTGCAGGGTGCCTGGTCTTATCTCTGCCCTCTCCTGTTATTTTCTGTAGTGGGTGGGGCCTGCTAGGCCCCTCCCAGAGCTCTGCTTTCTGCACAGGCTATGTACAGCACAGTGGTGATATTACTGCTACTTTTACAAGATAATATCTGAGTTTTCAAAAACATTTGGTGTGAACAAAGCAGATGTATATACTTAACAGCTATTGAGGAATATATTTCAATGAAAGTTTTTTTCAGTTTTAAAATAGCAGTAATAGTAGAGGCATTCTTGTGAATTGATAGATCCCTTCAGAATAATATTTACAGTAAAGAAAAAAAAAAATAAAATGCTTACAGAATAACCCAGTCTACCCAATCCTTCTGTTTTGTGGAGTAAGGAAAGGATAGGAGTTTTGTTAGATTTTTATTGTCTGTGTTCCCATTGAAGAAATGACCTTCGCTTCCTGTTTCGGTGACACCTGCCATCAATAAAGAATAGAAGGAATGTCCCACTGTTGGCACTGATCATCTGAGCAGAAAATGAGTTGCTGTGTCTCCTCAAACATGGACAAATCAATTGTGTACTTTGTTCACCCCACCTAAAACAAAAATATGCTTTGGCTGGAGTCCCACTTTAAAGGAAATCAAGTGATGGGAGATCCCTTCAACAGAAAAAAAAAACAACACATTCTTCATACAGCGAGGAAGGGCTGGAATTTATAATTGTTACAATAATTGTATTGCTGCTTGCACCCTGCTGTCTAAGTGACAAGCACTGCGGGTGTTGCAGGGATAGGAGATGAGGTTAATTGTTTCCATTGGAGTCACAGACAAAAATAAAAACTTGACACAGTAGGTCAAAGTAGGACAAAAATCCAGAAAAAAAAAAGCAATCAAGATAAAAATGAAAAACCAATTAACCGCTTCCCGACCGCCCTATAGTAGAAATACTTCTACAGGGCAGCACAGGTGCGCAAAATCACACACACACACATATATATATGTGTGTGTGTTTTTGCATCTCTGGGTAGTGGGTGCACGTGAGCGTCCTATCAGTGCCACCATTCACGGCTGCGGCTGTCAATCACCAGGTCTCGGCGCCCGGTGATTTCCGAGGACCTCCGATGGGGAGAACTGTTTTGTTTACTAACCGTTCTCCTCCCTATCAGCTCATGTACACTGCTTTGGATGGCTGTGCACAGCACAGCCATCCAAAGCAGTGTGCTTACAGTGAAGCAAACAGACACCGCCCCGTACTAAAACGCAGTAAAACGCACACGCACCTCATGATAACCCCTTCCTGCCCAGTGCCATTAGTACAGTGTCAGTGCTTTTTTTTTTTAGCACTGATCACTGTATTGGTGTCACTGGGAATGTCAGTGACAACAAGTCAGTTCCCCCCCAGTGTCAGAATGTCTGCCACAGTCCCGCCCGCTATAAATCGCTGATCACCTCCATTACTAGTAAAAATGAACAAAAAAAATTACATTATATATACCGCCATTTGTAAACGCTATAACTTGCAGGTAAACCAATTTAATTTACACGTATTGGGATTTTTTTTTTAGCAAAGACATGAAGCAGAATACATTTTGGTCTAAATGTATGACAAAATGACCAAAAGCAGCTTTTGTTGCAACATTCCTCATCAACCCAGAGATTTTCCCCACAGAACTTTTTTCTGCCACTAGATGCCCTCAGTCTGATGGCCCACATCTTTCCACCCTCTTCCTCTGAGCCCTCGCCATCCAGCACCTGCCCCCAGCCTGTGAATGAACAGTGAAAGGAGCAGCAGCACACTTGCCTCAGTGCATTAGGGTGCCATTCAAAATGTTCCATGGGTTACTTCCTCTAGCACATGCAATAATGTAACCAGTGGTGTATTTAGGTTTTGTGCTGCCCTAGGCAACAAAAAAAAAAATCAGACGCTGACCCCCCGTGGGAGAGAGCCTGACACCGGCAAA